GAGGGACAAATTCTTTTACACAGTGGTACACATCTGGAATGCACTGCCAGGGGTATTGGTGGAGCCGTTAGATAGAGGAATATGTACCATGGACAGGCAGAAGAGATTAGTTTAATTTGGCATCATTTTCGGCACAATACAGTGGGCCAAGGGGCCTGTTCCTGTGCTGTACTGTTCTTTTTCTTACATTACTATCAAAACACCCAAGATAGTTTTGAAGAGACAAAAAACTGCAGATGCTGGAATCCAAGGTAGTCAAACAGGAGGCTGGAAGAACACAGCAAACCGGGCAGCATCTGGAGGAAAGGAGAAGTCAATGTTTCGGGTATAACCCTTATTGAGGACTGGATGTGGGGGTAGGGGGAGCTGCAGATAAAGAGGTGGGGACAGTGGAGGTGGAATGGTGGCGATACATGGACACTGGTACTAGGTACGACCTGGTTGGTCGATGGGAGGGATGAATCTGGTTGGTGGTTGAAAGGGAGGGTCAGAAGGTGGAATGGAAGGGAAGAGAGGCTGGAAGAGGAGCCGGGTGGGATGGTTGGGAACGTTATTGAAATTGGAAAACTCAATGTTGAGTCCTCCAGGCTGTAGGGTGCCCAGGCAGAAGACAAGATGTTGTTCTTCTTCAAACTTGTGTTCCGAATCGCTGCGACACTGCAGGAGGCTGAGGACGGATATGTCGGACGAGGAGTGGGGTGAGGAGTTGAAATAGGCGGTTAGGTTGGCTGTTACAGGCCAGGCGAAGATGCTCAGTGAAACAGTCACCTAGTACACATTTTGGTCTCACCGATGTAGAGAAGACCTCATCGGTAGCACCGGATGCAATAGACTAGGTTGGGGGAGATGCAGGTGAAGCTTTGTCTCACTTGGCTGAAGAGGTCACAGCAGTATGGCAGTGAGAACAGGACTCACTGAGTTCACATCTCAGGGAGGCAGAGAACTTCTTCAAAGTGGGCATCCTTTGAAGAGACTTTGCAGTGATATAAACTTGGTTAGAGACAAAAGAAACTGCAGATGCTGGAATCCAAGGTAGACAAACAGGAGGCTGGAAGAACACAGCAAGCCAGGCAGCATCTGGAAGAAAGCAGAAGGCAACATTTCGGGTGTTACCTTTCTTCAGGTCAGATGTGGGGGTAGGGGGAGCTGCAGCCCATGTCAATATTTTAAAAATCGGTTATCAGCAACGTTCTCTTTCCAAGTTCAAACCAGTATGTTAAGTAAGGAAATAATGAAATGCATACCAACTGTTTTTCTCCAGCATCAGCATGTAAAGAAGAATCACTTTCAGCCTGAGAGGGTCGCCATGATAATAATCTAAAATACATAAATTATTGAAAATGTATTCTGTAGCACTTGAAAAATAAATTTTAAACAATGCTCCCACGACAGAAATAGACTCCGTTAATTTAGCTCACGTACAATATGAACTGGCATTTTAGCATTATTTATTCAAGTTTATATTATATCATTTAAATCTAAAATTCAGAATTTAGACAAAATCTGAATCATGAAATACAGGAATTTTCACAATTGTGTCACAATATTTCTAAGGCCAATGTTGTTGCCTATACAAATGTTGTCATTCCTGCAAAATTCCAAATCAAAGTGAAATGCAAATTGATCTTCTATCATTTAATGTGTCTACTAAATTCAATGAATGATATGATCAAACTGGAAATTATGTGACTATTAGCCAAAATGTCATATCTATCAGGTGATGCATTATTGGCAAATAGTAACTTTTAACAGCATGAAATGTCCTATTTGAGATAGGATGTAGTAATAGTTCAATGGGTAAATGAACTAGCCGGTGTGACACTAAGCTGTACAAACAAGGAAGGCCCTATCTCCTAATACTAGATGTACTGAGTTATCCAGATAAACTGCCTAGATGGCAATGTAGGCACTAGCTTTAACGTTGACAGACTTGAAAAGGAGGAAACAACACAAAATGAAGTTTTGCAAATATATTTTAAAGCTTTATTTGAAGAGTATTAGCCTCATGCATGTAAGCCTTACTCTATCAGATTAATTTTCTCCCTCACTTTACCCATCCTCTTAGGGAGGTCAACCTTCTCCAACACCAACAAGAATTTCCACACTTGGCAGAATAAACTGGGTGGAAACTATCAACATATGATCAGAGAAGAGGAAATCAACCTGGATCCAAACATGCCATGAAACTGTATTAATATTCCAATGTATTACACATTTAGGATTCATAAGCTTTGCCCAATTCAGTTTGCAAAATGTGGATTAAATCAGGAAATACATTGAAAATTTTGCAAATTTGCTTAAGGTCAAATTACAACTGTGTAAAACTTCACAGCCTGCTTCTACCAACCATTAAGCTCAGGTGACTATATTGCAAGCGGCACGCATCAAATCCAATTGGCACCTTCAACGGGGTTGGGGTTGCACCATTTCACCAAAGTAAAATCTTTTTGGTAGTAGAGAACTTTAATATTACTGAAACAGACATACTGTCAAAGCTTCTTGCTTTCATTTATGACAGATGCAAGAATCCTCCATTTCAAAGGGAGCAACAACTTAAACTGCACAAGAGGAGTGTTGACTGCACCCTCAACTCTGATTGGTTGAGGTGCTGCCAGAGAGAATGATCTTGGAAAACATTGCCCTCATGCTTTTGTTTAGCTAGAGAAAAAAGTCACAATGCTTGGACATGTTCCTTTATCCTGTGCAGGATAGCTCTCTGCATTTATGTGTTTATCTAGCAAGTTAAATGAACCACATCGAGAGCCTGACCAATGATCTTGATTTGGTTTTTAGGGTAATTCTCATCACACTCAGAATTGCTCAGCAAGTGTTATTTGTTTGTGGAATCACATTTAATGTTGCACATTATACTGGAGTTTGTTCTGAGTTTTGCCAACAGGGGCTGGTTGAGTGCAGTTTGTACTCTACTGAATATAAATTATCCTTTCAATTGTTTACAAGTTGATAGGACATACAGCCTGCCGAACTACTATCACAATGAAATTCATATATGACATTCCAATGAGGATCTGATCTACAGATCAAAGCAATATTAGGTTCAATCCCCACCCTGGCTGAGTAATTTGATTTTAGCTAGTTGGGGATAATTGTTTTATAATTGATCTGAAAACATCTGGGTTAGGTACAGGAAAACTGGCTCATGATTTCCATACAAAAAGTGTAGGAAGTGTAAAAGTTCATTCCAAGGTACACTGATAGCAACATTGAGTTTGGTTGAGAAGCAACCATGATTGCATAAAGCGCTAACTCTAACTGCTCACATCAAGGGTGAACAGCTACAGGCTCCAGGAATGAGGAACTTGGGTTATGAGAGCAGAGTGAATAAGTTGGGACTGTTCCCCTTGGAGAGGGCTCAGGAGAAATTTGATAAAGGTTTTTAAAATCATGAATGAGCTAGATAGAATAGAGGGGTAGAAGCTGTTCCCACTTGTAAAAGGAAACAGAACTAATGTTTTGACAGTGACCGTTCTTCAGGGTCAGTGGATTTGAAACATTAAGTCTGCTTTCTCTTCATAGATGCAGCCAGACTTGATGAGTTTCTCCAGAAATTTTTGTTTTTGTTTGTTTCAGATCTCTAGCATCCATAGTTCATTGTTTTATTGTAGAAGAATAAGAGAGCATAGACTTCAAACAATGTGCAAAAAAAAAAAGCAGGACACTGGCACTAGGTAATGATGCCGATTTGAAGAGTCAGCGCAGGCACAATGGGCCAAATGGCCTACTTGTTTGTGCACCATAACAATTCTGTGATCTTAAATCACAGAATCCCTACAGTGCAAAAACAGGCCATTTATCTATCAAGTCTGCACTGATCCTCCGAACAGCATCCCACTCAGACCCACCCCGACGTTATTCCTGCAACCCCACGTTTCCCATGGCTAATCCACCTAGCCTGCATATCCCTAGACACTATGGGCAATTTAACATGGCCAATCCACCTAACCTGCACATCTTTGGACTGTGGGAGGAAATGCACACAGGCATGGTGCAAACTCCACACAGTCACCCAAGGCTGGAATTGAAGATGGGTCCCTGGTGCTTTGAGACAGCAGTAAGCACTGAGCTGCCCCTAAGAACATTACCTGGGTCTCTGCATTTACAGTCCAATGACAATACTACTAGGCTATAACATCCACATTAACTAGCTAATGGGAACAATATATATCCATGACATTGACTTATTCAGAAGTGGAAAAGGGAGGAAATTGCACAGGAACAGTGAAATCTGTAAAACCCAACATTTAAAGGTTTCAGACACTTGAGACTGTACTAGTACATTTTCTTTTACTAAAATATCATAGGAACCTAATATTGTATTGGAACCTTTAAGTAGTGGTACTTTACAAAATGCGTTATTAATTTTTAAAGTTTTGCTATAAAATTTATCACATAAATTGCTTTGTGAAAAAAAAATTAAAGGATTTTTTTTCCATCTTACGCATGAGGAATTGTAGTCTTGAAGATGTCCAACATACAGTTGCAAGTTTTGTCCCAAGTTTCTGGCAAAAACTTTTCCCCATTGAGAATGACAACATTCTCCAGACAATTAGTACCAGATCGAGCCAGCTGTTCATTATCTGAGGAAAAAAAATTATTAATAGCATTATTAATAAAAGACTTCTCAGCAATTTAATAATACAGCTGAGTTTTAAGGCAATTTGAGTACCTCTACAAAAAAGCACAGGAAACAGGAAGTTTCATATTGATTCATTGCAAAGCAATGTTAGGTACTGACTCTGAATTAACATTACTGTTTTAGCTTTGGTCCAAGTGATAACATTTTGAACTGAAAACATAGTTGCTGTGTAAATTCAGGCTTCAACCCAAGAATTTATTTTCCTACAGGCTGGATGGTCACCTGCAAAATTTCACCAACTGCATGACCATCTTAATCAGCCAGAATGAAGTGAAGCAAACTGAGGGACAGAAAGTGCGTGTGGGTAGTAAGTAGCTTGTCTAACTAAGGACTGGGAATTGGCGCAGACTTGGTGGGCCGAAAGGCCTGTTCCTGTGCTGTGCTGTATTGCAGTGTATTATATAAAATCTTAACATATATTTGTTCATTTAAAACAAAATCTTAGCAGGTAAGGTAGCAAAAACTGCACTGCTTGTACTTGTTAAAACATTTCTCTGTTAACCTTACCTTGCTGTACACACCAATATAACTGTGCAAATATATCATCCAAGAGGATGTCATTGAGTACTTCAAAGTACTGCGTGAATACGTCACAAATAGCATAAAGTGCATGGTTACAAGTGGTGGTCATCCACTCAGCTTTCTGAAAAATAAAAATATTCTGATGTTAATATTGTAACCCAAACTTCAAACAGTCACCCACAACTATAATATCTCACTGTTCTTGTTGCATTGTACCTGCCTATTAATGGTTATCCCTATAGATCACCATTGTAAAATGAATATATTTAATCATCTGATCTAATATCTTGTGCAGCTCAGTTTCATTACACTCAAGAGTAACTGCAACTCCTTACCTCAGTCTGCTGTTCTGGAAGTTTCATATTGTCAAAGATCCTGAAAACTATCCTGAAGAGATCCTGCCACCAGTGCTTCTCAAAAGTATGACCATAAGTTTTCATTATTTCAAACATCACAGTTAATCCCCTGCAGCAGGATAAAACAACAGGTTGCATCATGCCAATCCTGAACATTTCTCAGCAATATCCTTCTATCTGTGTAGAGACCTTAACTAGAGAGCGAACATCATATATGACAATAAAATTAGTTGTACATCCCATATGTCATATGCCAGAGCAATGTAGCAGAACCTACAAAAAAGCTACAATACTGGTGGTGCTAATAGCCATTGGCTTATTGTTTAATAGCCTCGGATCGCCACCCTTCCAAATTAAACAACCTCCCTGTCCAATTTGAGTATTTTGTAAAGACTAGACTGTTAATTGTTCTTTTAATCCATTCATATGATATGGCTGGGCCAGTCTTCATTACCGCAGTAAACTGGGTGTGAGTGCCAGATCACACAATGGAGGGTAATCTTCAATGTGAAGATGGGAGTTCGTCTCCACAAATACTGTGCAGTGGTCACTATTACCAGTATTTTTGTGGACAGATGCCACTGTAGAAGGCAGACTGGGGAAGATGAGGTCATATACATTCTACCCTCTTGTTTGTCAGCAAACCAGCCTAGCACCTATGACCTTTAGAAATCAATCAGCTCAAGCAGTAATAGTGACGCGCAGTCATTCTTGATGAGAGACACTGAAATCCCTCTCAGTACATTCTCAGTGCTTCCTCCAAGTAGTGTTTCAACATGGGGGTGCAGTGACAGGGTGGATGGTGAAGAGGGTGAGGGTACACGGAGGTAATCAACAGGAGGTTTCCTCACCCAAGCTTTTTTTTTCCCAATGGCATGAGACCTCATGGGGTCCAGAGACAAGCTGTGAATGCCCAGGGCAATTCACTCTTTCTAGTATGTGAGATAGCTCTCAAACTTTGGCTCTAGTCTCCAGTTATCTTTAAGAAAGACTTTGTAGGAATGACGGGGCTGAGTTTGTCATTTCCAGCGCCAAGGTTGATTCAAGTGAAACGCCCAGTTTCATTTGTTTTTTTTTTGAGGCTTTCAAGAAATTAATACAACTGAATGACTTGCTGGGGGCAGTTAAGCACATTGCTATGGGTCTGGAGGCACATGTAGACCAGAGCAGGTAAGGGCAGCAGTTTTTCTTCCCTAATGGACACAGATTAACTAGAATTTTGTTTTAATAACAATCAACAATCGTTTCATGGTTATTGTTAAGCTTTAAATGCCAGATTTTTATTGAGTCCAAATTTCACCATCATACGGTGGTGAGATTTGAGCTCAAGTCCCCAGAACATTACCTAGATCTCTGGATTACTTGTCCAGAGATAATACCGCTGCGATGTTTCCGCCCCTTCAAAATAGTGCCAGCGGATCATGGTATAATATCAGGTCTACATTTAATATTTAACCAAATCCCAAACAAACATTATCGTAAATAAAAGTATTTATTATGTACTGAATACTTTTCATTAGGTATCTTTTAAAACGGATTCAAAATGAACATTAAGCTATACATTTACTGACAGCTTAAATAGGTCACAATGCTGCTGAACAAATAAGCCTGAGTACTAAATTTGACCTTAATTTTCCAAAACCTATGTAATTGATCTGTACTTAAAAAGATATCAAACCCCTCCCTTGTAGAGGTGGCAGCAACCCCAGTAAAAACATGCTGCACTCATTAAAACTGGCAGCCCAGTTTTTGTTTAAACAAAGTCTATGTGGACAGTATCCACACTGAATCTGGAAGGTGCACAAGACCAACAATTTCAGGAAGCAACAGCACATCCCACCAGCACAACTACGAAAGCAGCTTCAGTTCACTAATGTTCAGATTAGGTTTGTGAGATTCCAATTCTGCATTACATGGTCTCCCATACCTCAGCTGAACAAGAATAGTTCTGAGGCAGGACAACAAAACATTCTGAAACAGAGAAAAGGCCCAACTTTTCAAATACTGGTATAATTCAAAACCATTTTTGGTTAACATTACTTCTGCTGTTTGATTTTTATTCTTTGTAATAATATGATTTAAAATGGTAATCAATATAGATAATTGAAGTCAAGGGGAAAGTTAAAATTGATAAAAATACACAAAGCAGTTTACAAGCGAGGTATACAATAAATAAAAATTCACAATAAAACATTTAAATAGCTATACCATATATAAAACATTGAAATGAAAAATATATGCTGCCTATCGACTTTATTATTTCATTGCACACAGCATTGTTGAAAATACTGCTTCATTACTCAGAGAAGACAGATTCTTACCGAGTTCTTACATCTAATTTGCATCTGTTAATTATGCATGACAACTCGAACAGAATTGGAAACCATCCTCTCACCCATACTCTATCTTCAGCAGCTACATTCATATCATCACTGGTGTATTCTTTGAATGCCTGTAATATATTTTGAAATTAAAATAACTTTACTTGTGAAAACACCAATCCTGAACAGTGTTTGGGAAACTTTGCGCTCCAAACACAATGAAAAATGGTAATGTGAAAGAATATCTTTTCATCGATACTATTCTATTCCCACTTCCCTCTCCAAACTAGTCCTGAAATCCACACCATCTTCCTCAGATAGGATCTAATAAAAAAGATGCAATAACTACTGCCAACTCACTGATGCAATGTTGAACATTTTCACACGATTAGCTACATCATATTGCAATTTTCAATAGATTATGTTTCAACATTTCCACCAGAAATATATAAATAATCTAAATATATAGTAACCAATGTTTCACCTGTGGTCTCTCTGAAACATATTTTGCACAATGACGAATGAGGCGGATTGCTTCCATACTTGTATCAGGAAAAGCAGCATTGCAGGCAAATTCTGACAAACATTTCACTGCATCTTGAAAGGAATCTATTGTTGCTGGAAAATACTTTGCAAATACATTCACTGTGAAAATAATTTCAAAATATAAAATTTGTAAAGATGAAGTATACTAAAACTCATTATTAACTGAATTTTGAATTAACAAGTGATTTTTGATTGGAAACCCACGTTATGATCTAAACAGTCAATATCGACTAAAGCTTAATCATTGTGAATTAAAAGTTTGATTACACTTGCAAAGAAAACAGCAGGGTTTGTTCTGAGGATCAGAAGTAACATTGTTTCTGTTGATATATTCAGCTTGTATAAACTTTTCTTAATCTTCAAAATATATCAACTAATTCATCTGCACAACATAAAATGTCATATTGGCTATCACCCTCCATTCACAGAAGGGCATTAATTGCCAGTCTCCTTTGATTCTAATCATCAAACATGAAATGCAAATTAACAACTAGCTCTGCAAAACAATCTGCAGGCATGCTTTCATTGTATTAGCTATACAATGTTATATCAAACAACTATGCACATTTGAAAATATAAGCTTTCTTGCAAGACAGTGCTTCAGCATCACACGTCTTAACATATTCTTTATCTCCATACTGGTTGCACTTGGGCCATTTAACTTCTGCTTTACAGATATTTTTCCATTTCATATTTGTCCATCACTTTGTTAGCTATTATATCAGCCAAATCAATTCACTTGCGCACTACCTTTATTATCTGGGCTGTTGAGATGCACTTCACTAGTCCAAGTTTGAATTTCAAAGTCAAGAGAACTACCTCAGAAGGCAGTTAACTAACTGAGGCCCTTAGAATACTATAACATTGATGCTCAAGATATAACTTCTACCCCATAAATATCTGCTGTAACCTGTTTCCTTGCGATCTACTTGAACTTTGAACAGTTGTATTCTTAAGCAGGAATTGAGTTGAGTAAAATCTGAGTTTTATTTAAAGTTTTGCTTAACTTCTCATTAAACCTGATTTATGGTTGGACTTTATGATACACAGCTGAAGCCTACATTGTTTATTACTTGGAGAAGACTACAGTGATAACCCATCCTATTTGTAGTATATTCTTCATTGGTACTATCCTGTAGCCTTCTGAGTTTACTTTGTGAATGAGGTCAAATTTTAAATCCCGTTTACTAATTGTCTGTTACTATCCCAGATCAAATTTGCTTTAAGACAAGATTCCTAAAGCTTTATTAACAATTAAACTATAATTCTTAGATTAAACATTTCATTTAATGGCGTTTCATAATGGCACATGACAATGAATTTCAAATTTTACATTTCAAAAGATGAGAATTTCCATTTCAACAAGAAAGAAAAATCCGACTGCATAGAGTTCAATCTGATTGCCGACCTCAGGCAAAGCATGGAGTTAAAAGACACGGCATATTTAGATCGGGGCACACAGATATATGCAAGAGCCTAAGATCCTATTTTCAAGTACATATTCCATCCTTGTACAATACTTTAACCAAAACCTAGAACAATTTGTAAAGTACAGAAATGGACATGATTGTAACGCTAGGGTTTTGTAGCAAAGATGAGAAATGAAAGCAACTTGCAGCAGGGGAAATTACAATGTGACAAGTTACATATGTGGGCACAGGGATTTGGAAAGGTATGAAATCAACACAAGCTAATAATTATATTGGGTTATATAGATATATACTGCAAGCAATTTTTTCCTAACTGGATCTTTTATTTATAAAATAGGCAATTGTATCTTTTGTTCTTTCATGGAACTTGGGTAGCAGTGGCAAGCCCAGCATCTGCTGCTCATCTCCAACTGTACTGGCATACTAGGGGGGCAGCAGTTTCAAGTCAATCACATTACTGCGGATCTGGAGTCACAAGTATGCAATATTGGACAAGGATAGCAGATTTCATAAAATACGTGACAGAACTAGAATAGCGATTGGTGATATTTGAAATGGTCATGATTATCAGCCTTACGTTCTCGACTGATTAATTGAGTTTAAACTCCACTAGGTGCAGTGGAGGGATCTGAACCTATGCCTCCAGAACATTAGCGTGGTCCTTTAAATTATTAGTCTACTGACATGACCACTACATCACCAATTCCCAAAATATGGCAATGACAATTGGAGATTCTCATGAGTTAAGATACTAAAAGACGAGATGAAGAGAAGCAATGAGTTCAAAGGTGAAGAATTGGATTATTTAAATTGGTTCAATACTGCTGATAACAATTAAATGTATTTGTATTTCTTATCTTTATTGAATATTAAATTACCAAGAATTACTGATGAAAAATCAAAAACTATCACGTCATACAAGTAATTTTATATTCTATCATGAATTTATTGTCGAAGTCAGATTTTCATTATGAGATTAATATTTGCATCAACTCTCTGCATTGCTATGCCCTCGATGTCAAGAACAAGTTGCACAGCTGTAACAGGTATCAGCAGTATGCAGTAAATGAGGGATACACGTCAAGAGTGAGGTTGTACTCTGACTGGTCAAACTGGGATCAATGCGATGTGCATCAAGGTCTAGATCTCTCAGATAAAAGTGACTTCATTCACCCAACATAAACTTTCCATGATACTTTGTTTTCATGGAAAGGGCATAGAAAATTACTTAGCTGTTAGACAAGGTACAAGACTGTGAGAGGTAAACAACAAGTCTTTAAGTAAGATGGTTCTCCTTTGTATACAGCAGTTCAAAAAAGGTATGCACTCTTGTCCATTTTAAATTTTAACTTTAGATTGAGGGGTCAGTATTTATTTTAAAAAATCATGGTTAAATGAATCACACTTTCAAAATTTCATACACTGAATTATACTGAAAATATACTCACTGACAATGTGTCCCGTGGTTTGAAATGCTAGTTCTACTATACTTTCATCTTGATCGGAGGCTGCCAGGTGAAAGACAGAGAAAATATTCTTCCACCCAGAACGAATATTGCCAGCCTGTGAGTTAACCATCTGAGCTATACACCGAACCACCATATCTCGGATTGTTGGTGATCTTCACGTTTAAAGAAAAAGTTTTTTAAGAATACAAATGAATGCACTTAACATAAGTAGCTGTAGAGTCAACAGGCATATGGTGAATATACATTCTTATATAAATTGCTTGAACTGTAAATTATTTAAACTAACCTGAACATCTACCCTACTTTTACGAAACATGATTTCCAAGTACATAATCTAAAATACCTTTGCTGAAAATTACAGAAGGTGGACACAATTTTTGTATACAAATATCATAAGAAAAATGCCATCCTCAACAATTTACCTTGCTTGTTAAATTATTTAGAAATTATACTAATTATACAGCAAATAAAAATACGTAACACTGGACTTTTCAAACATGAGACATTTTTATTACTGCTTATCTTTTACAATAGTTCCTATAGAATTTCTGGATGAAATTGAAATTTGACTACAGAAAGGAAACTTTTTTTTAAAGAAGATCTTGTTTGCTTGTAAATTTACCTGTTCTTTTTCATTATGTGTTCAAATGGTCTCAAGAAATCCTTCTGAAACCTGAAGTTAGCAAGTTCTCCTTTCTCTAAGAATTTCATTGATAACTGCCTCAGAGAGTCTACTGCAAAAATGGCAACATCTTCATTGGGATTACAGCCAACCTAATAACAGATGGGCAATACAAAATTCATAACACTATAAAAAAAATCTACTTTAATCAAAGTCTATTGAGTGGTTTGATTTTATCAACTAAATATTATAAACCCATATGAGAAAATTAAATATGTTGAACAAAATAAATTTGCATTTCAGTAATGACATGGAATATTTCAATCTGATTAGAGAGTCTATTGTGATACTGCAAACAAACTCAATTGAAGGTTAAACGATGAAGGTAATGGACCAGGGTAGAGGAGAACTGTTCTCTAGAGGGTAGATTAGGATGTATGGCAAAACTACAGCAGTAGGGAAAAGGGTAAAAAATTCTGGGGCTAAAGTTAGGTGGTGGCGATGATGATAAGTTGGCTTACTATAAATAGAAAATCAGAAAGCTACTGAACATGGGGATTTGGGAGTCCTTGTCCATGAATTGCAAAAAGCCAGCATTTAAAAGCAGTGGGTAATAGGAAAACAAACGGAATGGTAGCCTTTATTTCAAAGGGAATGGAGTACAAGAGTACAGAAGCCTTGCTAAGACCACACAAGCCATTAGTCAGATCACAGCTAGAATATTATGAACAGTTGTAGGCCTAAAATTGATGTTATTCTTTCAGTTGTGAATCTGTGGGATTCACTACCTCAGACTGCGGTGAATGCCAGGACATTGAGTAAATTTAAGGAGATAGACGAATTTTTAAATAGTAATGGGTTTAAGGGTGAAGGAGAACAGGATGTAAAGAGGAACGAGGCCAAAATGAGATCAGCCGTGATCGTATTAAATGGTGGAGCAGGCTCGAGGGGTTGAAATGCCTACACCTGCTCCTAGCTCTTCTCTTCTTTTATAATTGCAAGCTCAATTTTCTCTTTAAAAATTACTGGCCTCAATGGGGGACATAACAGAAAAAATTATGTTACGAAAGACCACAGACAAGAGAGTGTGAGATCAGGTGACAAAAAGGTCAAAAGCACTGAGGAACAAAAAACTTAAAATAAAATTCAATTTTCAATATTGGTTACTTTAGTTAAAATAAGTGCTGATACCTAAAAAATCTTAAAATTAAATATCAAGTATTATGAGGGAATAGGAGGTTAATCTGGGACAAGGAATGTAAGACACATTAAGCATTCAAAGCTCCCCCTCAATACCATTTATAAATGTGAAGAGTACAAGACCAGCTGTAGCTTTTCTGAGTGTATAAACACTGGTGTACAAAAATCTATACATAATAAACATGACCATGCCCAAATATAATTTAAAATATGAATATTTTGCATCAACACTTGAGCTTAGAAACCACAAGTACTAAATAATTATGTAAACATCCTAAAACATTTCTTCATTTGGATAAGTAAATAAGCAGACCTAAAATAAGCTCATGATCGATCAAATTACTTTCAGGAAATTACCTTATTGAAATGGTCTCCAATGACCTCCCATATTCTGGACCATTGTAGCCTTATTCGCCCCATGTTGTAATAAGATATCTCAACTATCTTCTGTAGACTGAACATTCGTGGATGTGTTGGTGAGGCTAACTCATCCATGGAAACAGCACAAAGCCAGCGTACAAAATCAACTGCAAATCAAAAATAACTACAATTTGTTATCTAATGTGCCAGTAGAGTAAACTAACACGTAAATATTAAAAATATTGATAGTCAGCACATACCAATAGCATTTCCATCAAGTCTTGTAGATCCTGTGAAAATTCTAGAATGCAAAAGGTAGATTTTTCATTTTGAACATTACACATGAAATACACACATGGCTCTCAATCACGTGCATCATAGGTCATCAAATACTGGAAAAAGGACACAGCAGGCAAAATTTACTATGGTGTTAACTGACTTCAATTAACCTAATATTGGCTGAGGAAGTATATAGGAAAAGAAGTGGATGATTTCCTTAAACTCATACAAGAGAACTTTCTTGATTACAGAAATTCAGCAGGTTTGGCAGCACCTGTGGGAAGAAAAATAGAGTTAATGTTTCGTGTCTGGTGATTATTCGTGCCAAAGAGTCACCAGATTCGAAATGTTAACTCTGCTTTCTTGCAGACCTGTTGAGTTTCTCCAGCAATTTTTGTTTTTGTTTCAAATTTCCAGCAGCTGCAGTTCTTTGTTTTGTTTTATTTTAACCTTCTTGATTAGTATGTTTCCAACTCAAAAACGATGAAGACAGAAATAAAAACAAAGTTTTGGAAAAACTGAGTGCTGCAGCATCTGTACAAGGAATGAGGAGAGACTGTAGAAAATAGATGGTACAATCTTATAGGGAATGCAAGGACAGAGATGTCAGAGAATGTCTGCATACAAATCTTTGAAAACAGCAAGACAAATTGCAAAACCTATTAATAGGTATTAAGGGCCCTTGACTTGATAAATAGAGTTACTAAGCAAATAAAGGAAGAGATGCAAAACCTTTATAAAACACTGAACAAAAATAGAAGGTACTGGAAAAGCTCCACAGGTCTGGCAGCATCTGTGAAGAAAAATCAGAGTTAACGTTTCGGGTCCAGTGACCCTTCCTCAGAACTCTTATCAAAAATTGGCTGACTGTATTGTGTTCTGTGACTAATTGTGAATGTCAAACATTAAGGATGACAATAAACTTAGATATGGCAAAAAGGTGGCTTACTACAATGCTACTAGGTATGAACAGCTCACTGACTGAAGAGATGAGAGAAATTGGGGCTGCTCTTGCACAGGGAAGGTAATGTGACCAATATCATGAAGAATTATGACAGAACAAAAAACAGGAAAAACTGTCTCCAGTGGTAGAGGGTTGGTAACCAGTGGACAGAGAATTAAAATAAAAGAATCAGCAGTGAAATGAAAACATTAAAATGTGGCAAGTAGGAGCAGCAATAGGCTATTTAGCCCTTTGAGTTTGCCCCACCTTTCAATGAGGCCATGGTTGATTTCCTCCATCTTAACCATGTTACTGCACTATTCCCATTTTCACTAATGGTTTTAATATGTAGAAGTCTATTGATGTTATCTTGCTCCAAGGCAGAGTCTCCAGAGTAATTGTTTTTTAAACGTTCAGCAACTTGATTGCACTACCGCATAATAGTGGAATCAGATTCAATAATAACTCAGAAAAGAAAACTGGCTTATTATGTGAAATAGGGAAAACTGCAGGCATTTGACAGAATTGTGGGACGATGAAGTTACTAGGTACATCTTTCAAAAAGCTAGCACCCACAACAGGTAGAATGGCTACCTTCTGTTCTGTACCATTCTTTTACTTGTTCATTCACACAATAAGAGTTCATTGCTATCTTTATTTGCCCTCGAGAAGATAGCAGTCTAGTGTCTTCTTGAATCACAGCAATCCATGATGTACAAGGATGGCCACAGTGCTGTTAGGGAGTGTGCTCCAGGATTTTGACTTCCAAACAGTAAAGGAAGAGTGATATAGCTCCAAGTCAGGATGGTATGTAGTTTGGAGGAGAACTTGCAGATAGTACTCTTCCCATGTATCTGCTGGCCTTGTCCTTCCAGGTGGTACAGGTCACAGGTTTGAAAGGTGCTGTCTAATTAGTCATGGTGAGTTTTACAACAAACCTTGCAGATGGTACATACTGCTGTCATTGTACATCTGTGGTGATCAGAATGCAAATTGTAAGAGTTGAAAAGGTGCCAATTAAGCAGATTGCTTTCTCCTGGATGGTGTTGAGCTTAAGTGTTGTTGGAGCTGCAGTCATCCAGGCAAGTGGGGAATAATCCATCACACTGGTGACTTGAGTCTTGCAGACGATGGACAGGCTTTGGGGAGTCAGGAGGTGAGTTACTTGCTGCAGCAGTCCCAGCTTCTCATCTGCATTTACATGGTTGGTCCTGTTCAGTTTCTGCCCATTATTAATTACCAGGTTGTTGAGAGTAGGGATTTAGCAATGGCAATGCCATTGAATGTCAAAGGTTGATAGTTGGATTCTCTCTTGTTGGAGATGGTCATTACCTGGCAGTCATGTGGCATCAATGTCACTTGCCACTTATCAACCCTGCAGTGACGTCTTGTGGCTGAGACGATTCCAACAACTAAAACCATCTTTTGTGGTCATTATAATTCAAACCAGCAGAGAGTTTTGTCATCAATTCCCATTGACTATACTTTTGCTAGGAGTCCTTGATGCCACATCCTGTCAAATCTGCCTTGATATCTTCCCTATTTCCCCTCTTAAATTCAGCACTTTTGACTATATTTGAGCCAAGGCTGTAATGAGATCAGGTATTCAGTCGTCTAAAAGAACACAAATGTCATTTGGTAGCACTGTCAATAACAGTTTCAACCCTTTGCAGATGACAGAGTAAATGTACCAGGCAGTAATTGGCCAGGTTGGAGTTATTTTGCTTTTTGTGGACAAGACAAACTGGAGTAATTTTTCACATCAGCTTGGATAAGGACACAGCTAGTTCTGGAACAGATGTCTTCAGTACAAATACTAGAACATTGTCTTCAATTTTTTTCTTGATATCACTAGGAATAAACTGAATTGATTGAAGGCTGGTATCTTTGATGATGGGGACCTCAGGAGGAGGCTGAGATGGACCGTCCACTTGGTACTTCTGACTGAAGATATTTGCAAATGTTTCTGCATTGTCTTTTACACTGACTTCCTGGGCCCTGTCAGTGAGGATGAGAATATTAGTAAGCACCCTCCTCGAGTGTTTTGTTTAGCTGTTCAGCACCACGCATGACTGGATGAGACAGACCTCAGAACTTCGAGCTGATTTATTAGTTGAGGGATCACCCTAGCTATTGCATTCCTCCTCTTCTGTTTGGAACACAAGTAATCCTGTGCTGTAGCTTTGCCACGTTGATGCCGAAATTTACATTGTTACCATCAATACATCCTAAACCTCAACAGACCAAGATCTGTAAATCCATCTCAAAATAGCTTGCTACTCTTATCACCCTTGTCTTTCAAGATGCTCCTTGAAATCTGCCTCTTTGACCAAGTTTTTGGTCATCTGTCCTAATATGCTGCAGCTTAGTGAAATTCTGTTTGATAGCATCCTAACGAAGTACGTTGTGATGTTTTATTATGTTAAAAATGCAACATAAATTAATTATAATTAAATTATTTTTTGCTAAGGACAGGGTACTCCTACAATAAAGCAACATGAAATTGTAAATGAAAGTCAAAGCAGAAGTCGGACAAAGTAAACCAAAAAGAACCACAAAATGGACATTTGAAATAAAATTGGTCTTACCTGTCAACTGCAACAACAACACTCTGAGAGCTCGTCTCACCAATAGACTCCTGGATACTGGCTATTTGCTTTCGGTCCACAGTCCCACCGACAAGAGTGCCTGAGTAGGCATTGAAACAAACACTACTGGATTAATTTTTTCAGTGTTTTTATTTGCTCTAGTGCAAATTTTTACATTGTAACACAAGACGCAATCTGTATGTGTAAACAATTCTAGACAGAAGAAGCAATTATGGAGAATTGCAAAAAACAATATAATTAAAATAAAAATGTTAAATTTAAGAATTAATAGCCAGAATGGAAATTTTTAAATGCCTCAATTTGGGTTTCTCAGATCAAATCTAAAGAGAATGAGGCAAGTCCAGATTAAATGTTTTAATGGCAACAGGACATAACTAAACATGCAAAAATGTATGTTCTCTGCTGCAGATTCTCTATACATGTTAAATAGTTTCTACTGCAAAATTTAAAGCAACTGAATGATTATAGAATCATAGAACCATACGGCATGGAAACAGACTCTTCAGTCCAACTCCTCTGCCAACCAGACATCCTAAGTAAATCTGGTCCAATTTGCCAGCATTTGACCAATAACCCCTAAACACTTCCTATTCATATACTCATCCAGATGCCTTTTAAGTGTTGGAATTACACCAGTCTCCACCCATTTCCTCTGGCAGCTCATTTCATACATGCACCACCCTCTGCGTGAAAAAGTTGATCCTTGGATCCCTTTTAAATCTTTCCCCTCTCATCCTAAACCTATGCCCTCTAATTTTGGACTTCCCTACCCTAGGAAAAGAACCTTGACTATTCACCCTATCCATGCCCCTCATGATTTTATAAACTTCTAAGGTCACCCCTCAGCCTCCGACGGTCCAGGGAAAATAGCCCCAGCCTATTTCAGCTTCTTTTTATAGTTCAAATCCTCTAAACCTAGCAACATTCTTGTAAAGCTTTTCTGAACCCTTTCAAGTTTCACAACATCTTTCCCACAGCTGGGAGACCAGACGTGAACACAGCATTTCAAAAGTAGCCTAACCAATGTCCTGTTTAGGTGCAACATGACCTCCCAACTCCTATACTTAATGCACTGACCAAAAAAGGCAAGCATACCAAATGCCTTCTTCACTATCCTGTCTACCTGCGACTCTACTTTCAAGGAACTATGCAGCTGCTCTCCAAGGCCTCTTTGTTTGGCAACACTCCTCAGGATCTTATCATTAAGTCTACACATCCTGCCCTGATTTGCCTTACTAAGATGCAGCACCTCACATTTGTGTAAATTAAACTCCATCTGGCAGCACTTTTATCTGACTTTAGGGTGGCCTGAACGCTTAAGAAAATGCTGCACAAATGCAAGCCTTTCTTTCACGCCACGTTATTGAACCATTCCTCCAATTCAGTTCCTTTTCCACTTCCAGTCTGATATTTGGTTTGTCAGAAAGCATACTGATGGAATGAACTGGAAACCTCTTTTATGATTTCTAGTATCAAATGACACATCTCACTGTTTATAGGAAAACTAAGTGAAGACATGAATGTTGAGGGCCAAGACAAAATGAAGAGAGCAGGGATAAGATTTTGGTGCCTGGGGATTTATTCCAGAAGGGGCTGCATATGAAAATAAATGAGAACTTGGAATGTTAGACCAGTGATGGACAACCACTAAAAACGCAAAGGGTTGCATTACATACGTTGTTTCAGTGTGCTGAATTTGATAGGCAAAGGACCCACCATAATCCATGTTCCCAAGAACCTGCACAGATGCTGGGCCATATGGAAGCCTTTAAGTCTTGCTCCATGTTAAATACGGTGATCGCAGGCAAGTACACAGAGTTAAAGTTGTTGAGCATTGAAAAAGCTGGCTTCACACAGCAGTAACATTTTAAAGGAAACATCGAGACTTGGCCATGGTGCAAATTTACTCCAAGCATAAACTGACGAAGAAAATCAACTTACCCAGGCCCAAACTTAAAAATTCATCAGCTGTTTGGTCTCTGGATCCAGAAACTGATCCTTCCCGACCTCGAACTGTTCCAGAAATATAACGTGCTTTTACTCCAGTCCCTATTAACTGGGCCAGTTCCAGCTGACTGATGCATTTTAAGATCTATGAACATTTACAGGTACAAGAAAGGACAAATTTACAAAATATTTCCAATACATGACAAAATTAGAACTAAAAGAAAACAAATTGAATTAAGGACATTGAAATGTTCCGAAATAATTTCTGAAGGTTTACACTGTCACACTTGAATAATTCACCTCAAAGTCAATTGACTTATACTGTTATAAAATACAGCTAACATGTTTATTAAATCATAGATCAAAGTAATTAATATTACACACATAAAAGATGATAGACTTTACATTAAGCAATCATGGCTAAAATGCCCTTGCTAAAATGAATGCCCTACACTGAAACTTACATGGTGAGAACTACAATTGAGGAATGTAGAAACTAAGCTAAAAGAAAAAATAACGATAATCCAATTCATGTTTTACAAGTGTCAAACTAATATCTTAGAACAGAAAAGATTACATCAGACAATAGGTCAATCATGAACTGTCAAAATCTATCTTCAGTTACCAATAATGTAAAAGTTTAAGGCACAGAACTATTAGAGCACAAGAGGCGCCCATTTGTCCCATCGTGTCAGCACTGACTCTCTGAACAAGCATTTCATTTGGTGCCAAACTCTAAGAAATCTCATACGATTTAAGGCAGAGGTTAGGATAGATTCTTAGCAAACAAGGTGAAAGGATATCGCGGGTAGACCAGAATGTAGATTTGAGATTATGATTAGATCAGCCATGATCTTATTAAATGGAAGAACATGCCTGAGAGGCCGAAATGCCTACTCCCGCTTCTTGCTGTATGTTCTACTTGACAACCAAGAGCAGTAGCATTGCTCTCCACTTTACAATTCAGGGCACTCCAAGGCACGTGCTATGTTCCCAGCTCCACGCACCTCCACAGGTCCCTCGCTATTTTCAGCCCTTCTCCACTGATCTCTTAGGACACCCTCAAAAATTCTCAATACTTAGCCCTTGATTCTCCAGGTTCCACTTTTTCTCTGGGAATTACATTCACTGCAGGTGCTATACTAAACAGCCCCAGTACTTAAAATCATAGAAATCATTGTAATCATACAATACAGAAAAGACCCTTCAGCTCATTGATCTTGCACCAACAAAACTACTTTAAATCTTATTCCCGTCTTCCAAGACTTGGCCCATACTATTGAATGTTATGACCTTTCAAGTAGAATGTAGGCATTCCGCACAACAGTTGCCAAGTCTGCATGGCACGGTGGCTCAGTGGTTAGCACTGCTGTCTCACAGTGCCAGGTACCTGGGTTCGATTCCAGCCTTAGATAGCTGTCTATGTGGAGTTTGCATATTCTCCCCGTGTCTGCATGGGTTTCCTCTGGGTGCTCCAGTTTCCTCCCACAGTCCAAAGATATGCAGGTTAGGTGGGGATTGGCCATGGTAAATTTTCTATAGTGTCCAGGGATGTGCAGGCTAGGTGAATTAGCCATGGGAAATGCAGGGCTGAGGTGGGTCTGTTTGGAGGGTTGGTGTGGATTTGATGGGCCTAATGGCCTGTTTGAATGCTGTAGGGTTTGTATGTTCTAAGCGCTCACCCAAGTATTTTTTACAAAGATGGGAAGTTTCCCACCTCAACTACTGTTTCAGGTAGTGCATTCAGATTCCCACCACCACTGGGTGAGAAGACGTTCCTCAATTTTCCTCTGAACCTCCTTTCTTTGACCTTAAAAATATGCTCTCTTGTTATTGATCCTTCAGCCACTGGAAACAGTTTCTTTCTATGCATCCTGCCCATGCCCCTCAATCTTAACCACTTTCAGGTCCTCCTCAGTCTTCTCTGCTCTGAAGAAAACAATCTGAGCTTATCCAGCCTCTCTTCATAGCTAAACTGCTTCATTTCAGGTAACATCCTGGTAAATCTCCTTCACACCCCCTCTAGTACAACCATATCTTTCCTATAGTTCGAAAACCAGGACTGCACACAGTATTCCAGCTGTGGCTTAACCAAAGTCCCATACAACTTCAATATAACCTCCTTGCTTTTATAACCTATCCTGTGGCTGATAAGTCAGGTGTCCTGTTTATACAGTTACAGAGATGTACAGCATGGAAACAGAACCTTCAGTCCAACCTATCCATGCCAACCAGATATCCTAAATTAATCTAGTCCCATTTGCCAGCATTTGGCCCATATCCCTCTAAACCCTTCCTATTCATATACTCATTCAGATGCCTTTTAAATCTTGTGTGGAGCTGGAAGAACACAGCAGGTCAGGCAGCATCAGAAGAACAGGAAAGTTGATGTTTCGAGTTTTTGAAAAAGGGTCCCGACTCGAAACATCAACCTTCCTGCTCCTCTGATGCTGCCCGACATGTGTTCCTCCAGCTCCACAACGTGTTATCTCTGACTCCAGCATCTGCAGTGCTTACCATCTCTGCCTTTTAAATGTTGTAATTGTACCAGCCTCCACCACTTCCTCTGGTAGCTTGTTCCATACATGCACCACCCTCTGCGTGAAAAAGTTGCCCTTTAGGTCCTTTTTAAAATTTTCCCCTCTCACATTAAACCTATGCCCTGTAGTTTTGGACTCCCCGGGGAAAAGACCTCTTCACCCTATCCAGCCCATTCAGCCTCTCCCTATAGCTCAAACCCTTCCTCCAACCCTGGGCAACATCCTTGTAAATCTTTTCCGAACCGTTTCAAGTTTCACAACATCCTTCCTATAGCAGGGACTGCCCTCTTGACTATCATATTAACCTCATATCCATCTTCATGGGTCTATTCACTTCCTAGTGCCTTGATATTCATTGAGTACTCCCTTGGCTCGTACCTTCTAAAGTGCATCACCTCACACTTATCAGTGTTAAATTGCATTTGTCCCTGATCTGCCTATCTGATCAATCTGTCTATGTCATCCTGTAACCTAAGACCTTCTTCTGCACTGTCAACCACCCAGCCAAACCGCATGTCATCTGCAAACTTATCATTCCTCCTACATTTTCTTCTGTATCTTTTATATACAGCACGAAGAATAAGGAACACCAACCTCCAGTCACATTAACAGCCTTCTTACATCACCTTCTGTTACAGAGCACTAAGCCAATTTTGGCTCCAACCTGCCAAGTTACCCTGGATCCTATGTGTTTTACCTTCTTCATCAGTCTCCTATGTGGAACCTTCTTAAGTGCTATAATTTATATGAAATTCACATCAACTGCACGACCCTTCTCTACACGCTTGGTCACCACCTCAAAAAGATTCGATCAGATTAGTTAGGCACGATCTCCCTCTGATAAAGCCACACTGACTAACCCCGATTAACTTTTCCTCTCTAAGTAGAGATTAATTCTCTCCTTCAGAATTTTCTCCAGTGGTTTCCCAGCACCGAGACTCACTGGTCTATAATTCCCTACATTATTCCTACCACCCTTTGCGTTTTTTGATCTTTCTTGTACTACAGTCATGTTCCCTTTGACCACTCCAGTTGAAATACCGTGAACAATTTTGGTCTTCTTATCTAAGAAAAGATAAACTGACAATGAAGACAGCCAAAAAGGAGATTCATTCGGCTGATCTTGGATATGGAAGGATTATTTTATGAGGAGAAATTAAATAAGTTGGGCCTATACTCATAGGTGTTTAGAACGGCAATCTAATTGAAACATACAAGATTCTTACAGGATTTGAAAGTATAGAATGGTTTATTCTCATTGTGGGAGAGTATAGGACCAGATGGCATAATATCAGAATGAAGGGTCATCTATTTAGGACAGAGACGTGGAGAAATTTCTTCTCTCAGAGAATAGAGAATCTATGGAATTCCTTACCCACTCAAGGCTGGCGAGGCTGGGTAGTACAGTTCATGCAAAGACTGAGATAGAATTTGAATCAGTAAGGGAATCAAGGATATTGGGAAGAGGCAGGAAAGGAGAGCTGAGGATTATCAAATCAGGCACGATCTAATTAGAGCAGACCTGATGAGCTAAATGGTCTACTTCTGCTCCTACTCCTTGTGGCCTGGTATTGATCAATTTGGCCGGCTATGGCAAGAAATCATATTTCGAAAGTCACAA